GGCGGCTGCGCCTGGCCCCGATCCCGCCCCGTGCGGCCCTCTCTTCCCCACGCCGTCTCCGCTTCCCTCCCCCCTCCCCCTCCATGGCGTTCCGCCCGCCCGCCAGCGCCGCGGCTGTCCAGCCCGGAGCGGGCCCGGGAAGCTGGATATGGCAAGGGGAGGATGTTCGCGGGCTGACCGGGCCAGCTGGGAAACATGAGAAGGTGCAGCTATTCATGTTCCCGGGCCCGGGAGCGGCTGCCCGGGCAATAAAGGCGAGAGGCGGCCGCGGTCAGAGCGGTGGTGGCTTGAGGAGCTCTCCCTGGGAAGCGGCGCGCGCGGGGGGCGGGGGGAGGAGGAGGAGGACACAAGCGACCACCATGTGGCGGCAGCTGGGATTTGAATAGGAGCTGCGGACGCGGCAAAGCGGCGGGAGTAGCGCCCAGCGGCGGCGGCAGCAGCGGGAGCTCGCGTGAGGCATCAGGTACGGGCCGCTGAACTCTTTTTCCAGGGGCGCCCGGCTGAGCCTCGCCACGGCTGCGGAACACCGGGTGTGTGTGTGGGTGTGACCTCTCGACCTTTCCGCCCTCGCAAGTCCTGGGACCAAGGCGCGCCTCTCTGTTTCCCGCCCTATTGCGGGCTCTCCCCGCTTTGGGTAGGTCGGTGGTTCTGCTCCGCTTTCTAAAGCGCCGCTGCCCGTGCTGAGCGGAAGGCAGGCTTCCCGCGGGAAGGTGGTCGGCCTCCCGTGGTGGGGCACCTGGCGGAGAGTTTTAGTCCAGGGTGGTGGCACGCTGGAAAGGGGGGGGCAGCGTTCGTTCGAAGGACTTCGCTTGTTCCCGCCCGCCAGCCTATGTGCGCGTATCTTGTTCCCGCTCGAGAAGGCAACGCGCGCACATGTGTCTATAAAATGTGTGTCTATAAAATGTTTCGAATACAATGCAAATGGCGTCGCTGAAATACCTTTCTGAAAAGGTGATTCTGTAGATGACTAACAGACACACTTTCGACAAGATGTACTTCTCGTGCTTAGAAAACAGGCTGGGGTCTGTTTTCGTCCCCGGCTCTCGCACGTCCACCTCACGGCCACCCGGGCCGTTCTGGCCACTTGACTGGACAGTCCCAAGGAGCGGCGTTCCTGTGCGCGCTCTCGCTGCACGAGCCAGTCCGTCTTCCTGCGCGCGCCGGTTGCGCGTCCGCCTTGGCTTTCGAAGCCCCCGCGGCGGCAAGAGCGCGGCTCTGGGGCTGCTGCCAAGGGCGCCGGGTCGGAGGCGAGGCCGGCGCGTGGTGGGTCGCCTTGTCACTTGGCGGGCTGCAGCCGAGGCCTTCGAGTGCGGCGGCCGGAGCGTCCCCTCCGCTCTTCTCCGGCTCCGTTTTGCGCATCTGTGACTCGCGGGGATTCTTCTGGGACCGGAGCCGCGGGGCCCTGGGCTACCCCTCCCCCCCTCCCCCGCGCTTTTGTGTTGGGAAGCTGGAGCCGCTTCTGCAGAGGCCCAGCCTGGACACGTGTTGGAGGCACGGACGCCTCGCATGTTTCGAAAGTCCGGGTGTTGCTGACGCCGCGAGATGTTACGTGGGCTTTTGATCTCTCTCCTTTGGGCCTCAAAGTCTTGCACAGTATTTTATTAAACATTACAAATAGGGACTTTGACCACTCTTTACGGGCAAAGAAGAAGGAGAGCCCGGGTAGTTCGTGCGGACTGACCGAAACTGTCCTTGCCGTCGGTGCAGCGCTCCTGTGGCGGATGGGGGGGGGGGCTTCTTGCGAAAGGGAAGGCAGCAAAGCCCGTCTTCTGCAACGACGCAGCCATGAGCAAACCCCTTCAAAGGGCTGAACGGGAAGGGATCCAAAATCTGACACTTCGAAAAGGAAAAGAAAAAACGCACCCACCTTGGCGAGAGGAAGCATAAAGGGGCTATTGTCGAGTGTACGCATGGCTGTGTACCCGCGCGCGCACCACATGTCCCCGGGCCGGCCATTCAGCGGGTGGCATGATCCTCACTCGGCCCGAAACAGACCCGCGGGGGGGGGGGCAGAGCAGAGGCCCGGCGACGCCTTCCCGAGGAGTGTGTGTGTGTGGGGGGGGGGGCTCCCTGCCTGGGATCGGGGGCCTGCTCGTTTCTCACGTGGGGCAGTGCAGCAGGCCCGTTGCCTTGAGCTGCGCTCCTGGGCCAGGGAGGGAGGGAGGGAGGTGCGGAAGGAGGGCCGCGGCCTGCCCTGGCTGGCGAACGGTGCCGAGAGAAAGCGGACCGGGCCCTGGGCTGAGCTGGCTGCCGCCGACTGACTGGCCCTCCTCGGATGGGGAGGCTGGAAGGTGGCCCGGAGCAAAGGGCCCTCCACGCCTCGGGAGAGGGCGGCCCCCAAGAAAGCGGGGAGAAGGCTTCCCCCATATGTGGGGGGCTGGTGTGGTGGGAGGGGTCGCGGGGGCTGGGCGCGTGCTCGTTTCTATGAAGGGGGGGAGGAAATCCCCCTTCGGAAGATCCCCGAGAGAGCCCAAGGAGGCCTCGCCTTCTCCTTCGGACACAAGAAGCGCTGCTCGGATCGGGGGCTCTCGCTGGCGGGCGGCCGCTGCCCGGAGTTCGGGAGGACGAGGCCTCTAGCTGAGGTCGCTCTCAGGCGGGCTGCGAGCGATGGACGGCGGCTGGCGTGGTGGAAACCGGGAGGACCTCCGCTAAAGGGCTGCCGTCGGGCGGAGCGGGTTCTGGGAAGCGCAGCGAGCGGCTGGGCGGAACAGCCCTCGTCGGGGCCTTCTTGCCTGCGGCCGGGCACGCTAGATGGTCCACTTTCAGTGCCCTTTCCCACTGGATCTCACTGTGTGAACTGGCAACAAACAGCTGGAAAGGGCATCGAAAGTGGATCACTTCGTGTGCGCGCGACCGACCGCAGCCCTTGAGCGCTCTTTCCCGCCGCTGCCCTGACGCTGGACAGGAGAACGGTGCTCCGCCCCTGTCTTGCCCGGCCTTCGCAAAAGCCACTAAGAGCGGCGCGGTGAGAAGTGTGAGAAACTCTGGAAACCTCCCTCCTCCCCCGGCATCCCGCAGTTTGACAGACACGCACACACACACACAGTCTCTCTCTCTCTCCTGTAACTGCTTTCCAGCGCCATAATGCTCCCTGAAAACCATTTTTTCCTTCTTCTTTCTGTGTTTTCCGCTCTTTGCTCGTGTTAACCTTCCTCAAAGGTCTTCCCGGAGCACTTTGCTATGTTTGTACAGCAGCAGACCCGGAGGCAGAGGGCCCTGCAAACTGCCCAGGCGACGGGGATTGCGCGCGCTTTAAATCTCTGGCCTGGTGGTGGTGATGGGCCAAATTGTTATGGTGTCTCCTTCTTCTCCCCCCCCCCCCCCCCCCGGTCTTGACGGCCTTTGCGGCCAGCACAAGCAGAAGGCAGCTCGAGAGGACGCCCCACACTTTTTTACCTCCGTTTAATTCGAAACCGGGCTCGGAACCAAAAGGATAAGAGCAGGACAGGAGTGCCTCTGAACTGACGGAGAGCGCCCGTCTCTTCTCGCCGTCGCCCCCGAGCCGACACGAGACTGTGTCGTTAAGGCCCCGCCACAAATGACACGAAACGTGTTTTCACTTTTCAGACTTCAAATCGTCCTTTGCACCTCCGGGCCAGCTGTGAATGCGGAAGATACTGTTGACACGGGTGTGAGATCGAGTTAGACCGATTGCCCAGACAGCGCGCTCTCCTCGCTAGAGTTCCCCGTTAATTGAAATCTTGGACGGCAAGAGACTAAGCTGTATCATTCGCACTAGAGAAGCGCTTGCGGGGCGGGGGGAGCCAGTTTAAGCACGGGGCGTGCAAACGCCGAGCATTTTCACCCGAGACGAGCCTGTGGATAATCTCCCTCCCCCGGGGTCTTTAGTGCGCAAGAGAGGAACCCCACCCCCTCCGCAGCGGCTCTCTTTTATTTTATCCTGCCGCCGCCAAGCGAGAGTGAAAACGAATTTACCGAATCCCTCTGCTGTGCCGGCCCGCATTTTGTTCCTCCAGGTTCAGTCCGCGTGCCTGGGAGCATGGGATCCCGTAAGAAAATGGTTTAAAAGGGATATAAGTCGCCGGACGTTTAGGTGACTCCAAAAAGTCCCCCTTCTTCTAGTACACGGGGGACCACACACATCCACCTGCGAAGGATGCCTGTCTGAATCGACCTGCCCCGGCTCTCGGGGTGGGCTCGCACGCGGGACGGTGAATCGCGTTCATTGATGGGAGGACGCCTTATTTTAAAAAGGGAGCAGAGAGCGGAGGGGCTCCAAGAGGACGCAGAGCCTGGAGACACCCAAGCGGAGGGCCAAGGCTCGCAGCTCCCGGGTGGCGCTGGCTGGTGGGGAATAAATCCAGGACGAAGGGAGGTTCCCTCTCCCCCCCCCCGCCTTGGG